TCAGGAGTTCAATAAACATGACAAAGAGCCAGCAAAATTCGTTAAGCAGTGGAGAGGTACTAAGCCAAAGACGGGGGCCCCATATTCTTGTGATATTGGCTATGAACGCTTTCTCGGCCCTGAGGTTTGCTTTCCTTTTAGACGCTAAGTTCTGAATTATCAAACAGCATATTTCATTTATTACCACAACTTATTTCTACAAAATTGTATAATAAAATGGCTTGTTGGCATAGTTATTAAACCTGGACTTGATCGACCAAAAAACAGGTGAACTGGACTGTGGTCCGGTCACAGTTACATTAATAGACTGTTAAGCATATGAACCGGTCAAAACTCTTTCAGAACGATCAAGAATTGTAAGAACCGCCGGGTGGTTTTGAGTGAAAACCGGAACCAGTTCTATGCAAACCGATTCTTTATCAAATCCCTTCAAAATAAATTTAATATAATTGCTATGATAGAGATTCGACCTCACTTGTGAAATGTTAGGCCAGTGTGCGCTAACGGAAATTGTGTTATGTTAGTCAGCAAAATGTATATTATATTAACGAAAATAGACAAAAAGCAATAATATATTCAATAGTTTAAAAAATAGTTTTTAATTAAAATTATGGTCTTATGACCCGCTGGTTGAACCACCGACCTAGTGAGTTTGTTAGGTCAATGGCCGGGTCGGTTTTGATAACTATGCTTGTCTGTACACGTCTAAACTGTCAGAACCATTTATAATTTCCCGTGAATGGTTGAGAGAGGATAGCTGTAGTCATAATGTGTAAGTCATGGTCTTGTAGACATATTATGTTAGTAGTATTTTCATGCAACTGAGATTTCGCCTTGGCTTCACTTGTTTCAATAACTGAAGGATTGTGCCAGAGTTGAAATACCGTTTGACCTTGCTGCTAGTTTTACTTAAAAAGGGTACAGGAAAAAATGGTTCATTATAAGACTCATTTTCTTAGTTTTGAAATTCTCGACATCTGAAAGATGAAAACTGATGAAGGTTCATTGGAATGATTGAATTTAGAGAGTTGACATAAATGGGTTGGTACAAAATATTTCTGATATTGAAATTGGCTTGATGTGCAGGTCTTTTTCAGCCCTGAGATTTATAGCAGTGATTTTACAACCCCTTTACCGGAGGTGATAGACAAATGTATTCAGTCTGCACCTATAGATACAAGAAGGGCCTTGTATAAGGTGACATGAATCCTTTGCTGTACTAACATGCACAATTCGATTTTGTTTTATACATTTCTCCTTTCTTCTGAAAAATGACGAGTAACATGCATCTACATATATTGCAGAATGTTGTATTATCTGGAGGATCAACCATGTTCAAGGACTTTAACCGAAGGCTGCAACGGGATCTAAAAAAGATTGTTGATGCTCGGTTTCAGTCATCAGATGCTCGGATTCGTGGAGAAGTGAAAGTGAGCACGTAACCAATGTTACGATTAGTTGGGCCTTTGTTGTTAGTACATTATGATTTCTGAATAAACAATTAATTTCCAGGCACAACCAGTGGAAGTAAATGTTGTCAGCCATCCTATCCAGAGATATGCAGTTTGGTTTGGAGGCTCGGTACTTGCATCTACTCCTGAGTTTTTCAAGGTATTCAAAGATTAACTTATTTTTCTATTCTCGTTTTTTTTTTTTTAATTGTAGGGAGAGGGGGTTATGATCACAATGCCAAATTTCTAGATTGACCTCATATGGACCGACTCTTGAAACCTATACCTCCCTTGGTGCATGATTTGACTTGAAAATATTATAGAGTGATGAAATCTTATGGGCAGAGTACAATGCTGTTTGGAAAAAAAATGTTTTGCATCAATTCTGGGCTGTTTGCACCCCGAATTCACATTTCGATATTGGTAATGCATAGTTCTTGAAACAAGTTAAATTATACAAATACTGTAAATTGTATGTCCCACACGAGTAAATAATACAAAACAATCTCTCTTTTTGTTTGTTGCAATTTCATCTGCATCAGATACTTTCTTCTAAAGCTTTTCTGTTGCAAGGGTTGATGTCCATTGCCGACTGGGGAGCAGTTGTCTCAATCGACCTCTCCAAATAACAAAAAAAAAAAAAAGAAGCTAAAATACCATCAAAGTGATATTTTAAAGTATTTTTCCCAATTTTTGATAAATATTCCCCTTGTAGCGAAATAAAACAGAGATACTTCAATAAAATTGTGCTAACTGTTATCCAGATCAAACTTGGCAACTGGAGTTTTGCGTTTGCGAGTCATTGATCTGGTTTAAATTTTACAATGTGATAATTATAAATCAGAAAATAGTCTTCTTAATATCCACTGTATAAATCCCCTCTACCAGTTAAATCTAGTGGCAACCGTGGATGCAACAGATTGAATGAATTCTTCCTTTTCACTGTTACAATGAGTTAAATTTGCACTTAACATTTTTCTTTTCTTAAGATGGCATATATTTTATTTATTAATTTATTCCAGTTATGCACTTCATATTGTACAACTGATTGTTGAATCTATGACACTAAAGAGTTTTAGTGTAACTAGGCTGAGTCCATATTCAGTCTCAACTATAATTCTATACACAAAAAGAGATTAATGATTCAGAGGAGACATGTTTTCTGTCCTTATTATTCTTCTATCACTTGTCATAGTTTCAAACCAGTAATTTTGCTTTTTCCCTTAGAGAGTTGGAAGTGTTTTCTGTAATTTATGAAGAAATCAATTCCTGTCCAGAATTCAGTGATTTGTTTGAGTTTGTAGTCACAAATGCGGATATCAGGACCTATATTTTGTGTCTTATTTACATGGTGGTGTAAAAAATTACACGACAATGTTTGATGAAAATTTTCTTGTCATAATTTTTTGTCTGAATGATTAAGTAAATTAATAGAAATTAGGCACCATATTCCCTTAACCGCAAAAGTTGAACCAAGTCATTGAGTTCCAAATGGAATATAAAAAGGAATTTCACCGTTATAATCATGTACCGTAGAAGATTTTAGTTTCACCAAATTTGGATCTGATTTGGGAGATAAGTTTTAATACCTGTAAATTTATCTTTTAAGTGGACGCCAAGCTGTTGCAATCCACATTCGAAAAGAGATGAATCATGTACACTTTGTATGCTGTCGAAAAAATCTCAGAAAAAATTGCTATTAGGGCAGCCCCATGATTGTTGTGTTTTTATTTCTTTTATGGTATTGGAAGGAGGGGGGAGGTTCTCTTTTGAGATGCTTCAGTCTTCATACAAATGGAATAAATTGTGGAAATAATTTGTTTTTGTATTGATTATACTCACATTAAATATATTGGCAATTTTACACGTTAAATATTGAATGCATACTCTCCTTGGGGTCACTGAGGTGAGTATTCGACCGTAAACTTCAGGGTCCCGTGGGATTAGTCGAGGTGCGCGCAGGCTAGCCTGGACATCCACGGTTATAAAAAAAAAAAAATATTGAATTCATACTCTATTAGAAGATTTGTCTTTGTTATTGTTTACTTTGGATACTGGACCAATATTTTGTGCCACACACAGGCTTGCCATACCAAGGCAGAGTACGAGGAATGTGGAGCGAGCATATGCCGTACTAACCCTGTTTTCAAGGGAATGTATTGATTCGAAGACCATCTGAAATTGACAAATCAGGAGGGCATTTTTGTCAGGATGTTTAGAAATGTAAAACGATCAATCCCATCTCCAGCACGTGGCCGTGTTGACATCTGCAAATTCTACAGATGCAAATGCCTTCATGTACTTTTATAGGTTAGGATGCTGAAGGAATTGTAAAATACATTCAGTCCCAATCGTAACAGATTAGGTTCTTGTATTCTTTCAGTAGGAATTAGTTCTTCCAAGCTTGGGGTGCTGATGCTACTGTATTACGTGGGACGAGTCGGCACTTCTGCATCAAATTATTGTCATCCACAAGTATTTAGCTTAGCTGAGGTTTGATATGAATGTTAGAAAGAATAATAATATATATATATATATTCACATAGGAACTTGTTTGAATTGATTAAAGTGTAGTGGAAAATCACCATATTTCCTTAGAAAATTGATTTTTTTTTTCTTTTCGCTGAAATATATTTTATGCTTGTACAATTTGTCATTGCCTTGTTAATCAATTTTCGTCATTTTCACTGACTTACCTTCATTTGTATCATGAGTTAATATATTTAGTATAAGCAAAATGTAGTCCATGACAATATCGATAGCTTAGTATTGCCATAGGCCGTAGCAGTACTTATTTGATTCGAGCTCTCATAGGGGAAAATTTTGTAGTGATAAGTATATTAAAATGCAAACTTTTGAAACTTGCATCGGATTGATTTTGGACGATTGTGGGGGAAGGGAATGGAAGTATCAAGATTTAAAGAAGAATGATCCAACATGTAAATAAGGAAGGACTCGAGCATAATCAAGAAGATGATTTAGTGACCCGTATGAAAGAAAGGTAAAATTGAAGTTTGCGATCACAAGCATTGATGTCTAATATCACAAGGTTGCTTAACTTAATTCTAGCAAGTATAGGTGGACATGATTCCATTTAATTTTGATTCTAAGAGAACTGAATCAAATCATGAACCAACGATTTTTCTGATAACAGAATCAATGATTTATTTTTTGGGGAATTTACATAAAAAGCCTAGCGAATACCAGTGTTCTAAAATGCGTAATGCGTTGTGATGCATCAAGGTTGAGAATCAAGACAAGTTTAAGCATGTCAATGCGTAGAATAGGCGTCATAATGCGTTTCTTACTTTTAATAT